GCCTGGAGTCCCCCAGATAGTAAGTGCTGGGCCAGTTTGAACCCAGATCTTTCTTACTCCAGGCCCAGAGCTCATTTTCTTCACTGTGTCACATTTAGCTAAGATTTGAAGGAAGCCAGAGACGGCAAGAGGTGGAGGTGAATAGGGGAATGTCCTAGACATAGGGGATAGCCTGTGAAAATGCTCTGTGTCACTCTGATGACGTTTTGTCCCAGAAACACAAGGGGACCAGTGCTACTGGATTGCAAAATGCACGAAAGGAAGCAAGGTAGAAGAGTGAAGAGGCATAAACGGGACAGATTATGGGAGACTTTATATTCAAACAGAGAGTTTTATATTTGGTTCTAGCAGTAGAGGGGAGTCATTGGAGCTTTTTGGGGAAGTGAATATCATGGTCAGACTTGTGCTTTATGAAGATAAAGTCAATTAATCTTAATAAATACAGAATAACCAAAACTACAAGTCTAATCAATTCAGCTAAGCATTAAGGCCTAGCTTTTACATTTTTCATTAGGTATGAGACCCTAATATTTTCATTATACAAAAGGAAACCAAGACAGCAAGAACAGCTTCCCCAGATGACTTTTGGAGCTCTGATCTTGCCTAAGATCAAGAAAAAACAAAACAAAACAAAACAAAACAGAAACATTCACGGACAAAGTTATTCAGAGACATCTGCACAAGGCTGACTGGTTGAGCTCATGCCCCTAGTTGTGTGAAAGAGTAAGAGTGCCACTCCAGCCCTGAATGTGACCACCACAGGTCATATTACCTGTCACCCCAGCTGAAACATCTGGGCTACCACATGGCTAGAAGGAGTAGCCATAGAAAGCCACAGAATTGATTATCCTGAAAGTGCCAAGCAATGAAGAAACACATGCTTGGAGTTCCCAGAAAGTTCCTAGGGAGTTCTGGATGCGTTTTCCCTCAGATGGCCCCTACAGGTGGATTCACTTCTGTTATAATTTGCAATACCTTCATCTTATCCTGGAGTCCTCGAGGTGGTATGTTGTTGAATTTCATATGCTCTTATTTCACAAAATCTTTGTCTCGTTTTCTCTTTGTGTTAGATAAGAACCTTGCTCTCCTTATGGCACTTCAATGCCAATTTTGTGGCCTGAGATATTTGCTTAGAATTCCATGGAAGCCTCTTGGAAGGTTATTTAATGAGAAATCTCATGCCAAACTTGAACACTTGGTAGACAAAGAGATCTTTGCATCAGGAAACCATCTTCCAAGGAGCTGTTCCATATAACTCATAAATGTTCCTAATTGATCTTATTCCTAAACATAATAGTGTTTATCCATTAACTTGTTCATTCTGACACCTTCATGCTGCATGTCATGGGGAGTTTACTCACTCAGCACATATTCAACTGTGATGATAGAATTCCACTATGGTAGCTCCACTGTTATCAGTGGAGAAAATAGTTTGCTATGGAAATTGCAGATATTTTACATTTTTGGTCTGTTCTATTCCTTGTAGTTTAACTGTTAATGCTCCTGGACTGATCTGGTTTAATTGGGTCTCTCACCAGTACTAACAATAGCCCTAACAATCCTTCCTCAGCACCACCCACCAGGTAATGAAAATTTTGACTACAGAAATTCATGAAGCCATTTATTAAGGTTTGGATGGTTTGTAAAGATGTGGTGGCAGCTAGGTGGCACAGTGCCGAGACCTCCAGGACTGGGGTCAGGAAGACCTGGGTTCAAATCCAACCTCAGTTGCTAGCTGTGTGACCCTGGGCAAGTCACTTAACCATTGTTTGCCTCTATTTCTTCATCTATAAAATAGGGATAATAATAGTATTTACCTCCCAAGGTTATTGTCAGACTCCAATGAGATAATAACACAGTACAGTGCCTGGCACATAGTAAGTGTATATAAATGTTAGCTATTATTATTTGTGATGTGAGATGGCTGATGCATATGTAATCCATGTTGTTGAAATCACACATGTTTGGGAGTATTGAAGTCATATTAATGTGTATTTATAATAGACCCTTGCACTTTTCAAACAATTTTAAACATAGTGGAAACATGGCCTTGTCACCCTGCTACAGGATCAGAGTGACCTGGAGATGGGAAGCATCTGATGTCTCTGTCGATCTTCATAAATAATGGGACAATTTCTCCTGCAGATCTATTTTTATTGTTCTTATGTCATTTCAGAAATCACATAGGAAACTGTGATCATTTGTTCATTCACTTATTCAACACTTTTTTCAGGCAATCGGTGTTAAGTGACTTGCCCAGGGTCACACAGCTAGTGAGTATCATGTATTTGAGGCCGAATTTGAACTCAGGTCCTCCTGACTCCAGGGCCAGTGCTCTATCCACTATACCACCTAGCTGCCCCACTTATTCAACATTTACTGAATGCTTATCATGGAACAAATTTTTAAACTGCCAACATTAGATTCAATTCCATTCAAAAACATCTACAATATTAAGCAGGTGTTTAATGTGCCAGGCACTATTCTAGGTGCTGGGGAG